TAAAATTATTTAAACAATTCTTATGAAAACAATTAGAAACAGCATGGTAGCGATCACTTCATTCCCGGGAGTTATAATCAATCATGTACTCTGTAGTAGTTAGAAAGAAAGAAAGAAGAAAGAAAGAAACAGATTTTATTTGACACATACAACACACTCAAGTGGATTACATAAAACACATAACATTTAAGTAGTCATACAAACAAAAAAGAAAAAAAAAGAAAAAGTTTTACATAGAAATCATGAAACAGGACATTCACTCCTTGTTTATAGATATGGTAAAACAAAAAAAAGCAAACAATAACATAAAAAAGAAAAAAATATATAATAATAAAGAACTAGAGAATAAGGAGTAATGCATAAGGTGTATTACAAAGATAATCCACCCGTTAATCCTGCTCTGCTCCAAAAAGGAAAGCCACTCAGGATATGTTGGAATGTATCAGAAGTACAACACCCCAACCCTGATTTTCAGTGGTACCCTTATATATTTAAAATAAAAACAGACGTGTGGCACTCGGGGACTGCCGCGGTAAAGCTATTGCATAGCATTTTGTATCAACTTATGCAATTATAATTATTTATTTATTTTATTTATGCAGTATTTCTTTTTCTTTGATATTAATTCAAGTTACTTAGGTTAATCCAATCAAATTCAACCAGATTTAACCGAACCCGCGTTATAACGAACTCACTATTTGTGAAAAATACTGTATCACCGGACCGCGTCGCAAAAAACTCAGGTTCGCGCAGTACATACGTCAGGGCGGCCGTACGGCAATTATATTAACAAGACGCGCAACTACTCAGTTCCACGCTTCACGGCAAGATTTGTCACTTATTATTTATTGTCCAAATAATTGTCTTTAAGTTCAAATGGCACGCTCTATTAACATAAGTCTAAGACAAAACAAGGAGACTTTCAATATATGAACAACCCGGCTTCGCGTTTGTGTTAGTAAAATAAGCTCTTATTAAGTTAGCTTAGAGTTTAAATTAGTGTAAGCTATACGCAATCCTTGTGGCATAATGAATGTAGGTAGTATTTTATTGACTCCCATTGTCTCGGCCGACGCGACGGTTGGACCGTAAACGTAAACAGATGACGCTTTCTAACGATAATGAATATAATATGTATTATAACAGTCAATGGTTCATTATTCTAATGTGTTGTAAGATTAAAAATATATAATGAAATATATTATCTGTTGTATGTCATAACGCCCAACTTTAGGGGTAACCGATCGCGCGCACAAATGCAGCTAGCCTCCCCTCCCGCACCTCACTAATCGTCGCTTCACACCGCTTGAGATAAGACGATCTACTATCAGGCGCTAACAAACCCCCGTCCCGGACATAAGGATCTATGTCCGCGAGTAAATTGGCAATTAGAAGACGCTTTGTATTGTTGGTTTTTACAAAAACGATCAACTGGGCAAATGATATCTGGCCCTTTGCTTTGTGAAAAAGCATTAGAGTTAAATAAAAAAATTAGGTGACGGCGGCTCGTTTGTCGCAAGTAACGGATGGTTATATAGATTTATATCTCTTCATGGAATTTAATCAATGTTTATTAAAAAATAATAATTTCTTAATAAACATTGATTTTCGTTGAAATTGTTGTTTTAATAAACACATAACATTATGTATGTACATATGTACTACAAATGCACAAAACCCGCTTTTCTTCATACATTCGATCATCCGGATTTTCGATTATCCGAAACCCTAACGGCAACAATTAGTCCGGTTAATCGAGTATATATATACATATTGAGAATCTAAATTTAGAATTTAAACTATACGCGTGTGTGTGTTTGTGTGTATATAAAGAGGGCTACTTTTAATATCGCTCATTTTAATATCAAACATTTAGGTTATCTTTATAGCAGTATTATATTTTCAATTCAAAATTAGTACTGCATTTGTGATAATAATAAAATGTAGGTATGTATATAGAGTACTCACTCATTTTCTTTCACTATTTTTTCGTGACTTTCTTCATTAATAATAAATGCACTTTGTTCGTTCATATTCAAAATTTCAAAATACTTTTTACACAAACACCGTGTCGAAGACTGAGGAAAAGAAACGACGTTAGACCATCGTTAGATAATGCACGGCCTTCAAGCCACACCTCCGTGCCCGTCGGAGAGCGTGAGGTTTTTTTCGTTACGAAATTTCTGGATTTTCCCGCAATTGAAGCTATGCAATAGCTTAAAAATACACAAATAAATATAAATATATATATATACATATATTATATATTCTTTATGTGCAGAGGGCAGTTCTGTTGTGTTAAACCAAATATAATAACAAAAATTTATTTCTTGTAATATTGTCACAATTCTTATAAAATATTCTTAATACTGTAAGAGGTTGCATTGAAATTCACTCAGGAACGTAATTAAGTTTAAGCTACAAACAAATACACAAGCCAGCTGCAGTACACCACTTCATTACATAATTTCAATAAATAATATATACATACTCAAACACACCCACATATACATATATATGTGTATGTACATATATACATAAATATAAACAAGCACACATACATACACATATACACGCTCATACATTATTTATAAAATTACATACTATCAAAATATCTGCACTACTTAACTTTGAGATTGCTGATCTAAGAGGAACAATTTAAATTTTTGACGGAAGCTATGTATCGATTGCATATTACGGAACGGCGGCGGCAAGTTGTTCCAACACTAACTTGGTTGCTGCATATCGAAAACTGCCTCGAAACGCAGCGGTGCGGTGTTGAGGCAGAAGCAAACCGTACGCCGAAGCTCTTGTCACTACATTTAAGACGTTGTCTCGAGCCCAGCGCAATTTTTCATAGAGATAAGACGGCGTCCTGTATTTTATACAACCAAACAACAGCGTAGCAAAATGCAACTGCCAGCGGTAATCCAATTTGAGCATTTTTGCATTATTAATGTAAGGTGTAACATGTGCACGGGGAGGTATTTTAAAATAGAAGCGGGCACAGGCATTTTGTACGCGCTGTATAAGTTTCTTTGAACGGTTGAGATGTCTAGGACCTATTACTGCATCTGCATAATTGAATTTGGACAGTATCAAGGACTCACATAATCTGATACGGACTTCCGTCTTTAATACATCCCTTATATGGTATAGTACTTTTAATCTGTAAAAACAATTTTTAACGTTATTTATTATATGTTTTTCGAAGTGTAGTGCCTCATCCATCAATATTCCTAAATTTCTAATCTCAGTAACTCGATCAATATTTACATTTTTAATTGAAATTAAAGGACGATTTGCCAAGACTAAAAAGAAGATTTGCCAAGGTTAAAAGAATTTTTGAAATAAATATTTAAAAATTTTAATATTTATATAAAAACCTTTGCTTAATACATATTCCTAACATTTTGGTTGATGAAATCTGCTTATTATTGACACTTTGTTGTAAAAGCGGATACATTTTCCCAAGAAGGAATTACTGACTCTGGAATTGAGTAACTGGCATATCTAACTTGTGCTTGTTCCTATTATTTAAAGAATGCACATCACTATGTTTAACTAAACTATTTTTGTTTACATACATTCAATTTTCGATAGAATATTACATTACATAACATTACTCTTATATCTTTACAGCATATACCGCACAACTAAGTTTACTAGCCAGTTTAGATATTTTAGGGCCCCATGGAAGCTTCGCGTCAACTGTAACTCTAATAACAACTGTGGATTCAACAAGGCTCAGCTCCTCTCCATATAAAAGCACACTGGTATTCACTTGCTTAACATTGGTTGTAGAGAATTTAATATATTTCGTTTTATTACCGTTTGAAAGCAAATTATTTACTTCGCCGTATTTTAATTATTGCATTTTAAGCCGGAAGATCAACGAAGTATCATCAGTAAATAAAGCTATATTATGGTTATTACCTACCAAGTAAGGTTATTAGTTCAACCAGTGTACTACTGACGTTAAACATTGCACTAAAAACTATAAACTAAGAACAGAAATGTGTTAAAAATTGAGTCCTGAGGAACACCTACTCGTATAGATTTTACCAATTAGGAAGAACTGCTTTGATTAATTACATATGCTTGCGTTCTTTTATTTAGGTATGATCTAATAAGTTTGACTGCTATGTTTTTCACACCATATTGAAGTAGTTTGCAAAAGTCACAAAATACACCCAAAAAATAATCTGAATTCTTTCATGTACAGAAAAATGATAAATATATAATATAATATATCGAGCGATCCCATGTAAAACCAAACTGATTTTTATGGAGATATTTATTTACATTACAATACTTAACGTTTGATCTAGAATATTTTTTTTTCAAAAAATTTACTGAGCGTTGACACTACAAAAATAGGTCCAAAATTAGTAGGGCCCAATGTACTACCAGATTTAACCTCTTAGCTACCAAACGTCCAAATTTGACCGCGGCGATATTCCGTCAAAATTCAAGAGGTCAAATGTGACCGCACCCACCCACAGTATTTTAACCCATAAATACTTATATTTAGAGACTACTGTTCTATAAAGAAGTTTGGCATTATAGAATCAATATAAAATTTTCTATCATCTAGTTGAATAAAAAGTCTGTTAGCCTACGGATATTTATTTGTCGCAATCGAGTCGGTACTTCCGGAATGATTATTTTTAAATAATGTCGCAATCAAGTCGGTACTTCCGGAATGATTACTTTAAACGATCAGAACGCAAGCGCCATCCGGTGGCACTGGACAGAGTCTATGACTTAGCGGTCAGCCGGATTTGCACACACATTATCGTGGGCTGTCAGAGACGACTTCACCGTCTAGAAACTGTCCCACGTTCCGTATAGTTAATACATAGAGTTACGTTGTCATTTATGTTAGTGATTATTTAAATGATTTTTACTTAGAATTACATTGTTGTTAATTATTGTGACGGCTTTTTATCGTTTTAAACCAACACCTACCGTAGCGCCCACGGGAAAAATAAATTACTATGTCGGATGATAACGAGGGTAACTTACCCAAGCCGACATCAGAAGTGGGATCAGTGTTGGTTCAAACGCAAAATGAGAACGTGGACAGCGATGGTTGGCGAGCCATGTTTGTACAACAAAATGCAAACATGTGTGCGCTCATCAAAGCCCTGCAAGCTCCGAAAGCTAACAATCACGTAGATTTATCCGAGTTCGACCCTGACAAGACGGATACCGACCCGGAATCGTGGTGCGCGACAGCAGATTTGTGTTTTGCAGAAAATCCACTGCACGGCGTTCAACTTGTTTTGGCGGTTAGTAAGGCGTTGAAAGGCACAGCATCGACTTGGCTATCACAAATAGCATACCAAGGAATGTCATGGAGCGAGTTTAAGGTACTGTTTACGACGAGATTTATTTCTACTGAAACATTAGCGGCTACCCTCTTTACCCTCGGTACTGATAAACCGAGTGAAAAAGAAACTCTAGTTGCTTGCGCGAGCCGTTTGATGACGTCACTCACTAACCGTTGGTAGGACGCAAATAAAGAACAAATTGTAGTAGCAACCTAGTACCTCGATGGACGGGTTACAGCTAAACTTCATGCGTTTTCACACTTGAAACGTAAGGTTAATTAATACTCGGGGTACCTAAATATGTAAAAACATGTCGAAGGAAATGTTGGTAGCCTCCTATGTAAGTCATAAATTGCGTTCAGTGAAAACTCAACTTGTTGGAATTTTGTTATAACTTGATAGTTCATTTGAAACATGATTTACATGTGCTATAATTTAAAGTTTGAATTGTTTAAGCGATATAACAAAATAAATGATTACCTATAACGTGCTACGCATTGAAACATAGAAATGTAAACAACAGGAGAAGTGGCTAGGGGGCGTGTCTGTGTCCGCGCGCTATGATCAAAATGCTCAGCTTCTATACAAATGGCCGTCCATGCGAATTAGTGCGCTGTCGACCGTCATCGTGAAATATTATCAGAATACCATGTTGTTCAGTGGTTTCTTGTAAAAACCGAAGCTAAAACAAAAACTTTGTTAATCATGAAATCACTTACCATACCTAAGTAAAAGTATTTAATTATATTTATCTTTAAAATCGCGTTTAGCTCTGGCGGAGGTCGTGGTTTTTTTTTTAAACCGTAGTGTGTAGTCAGCCGGTGATGCACACGGTGATCAGTGGATGCACGTATGAAAATGCAACTGTGATTGCTGTTCGGGCAAGAGGGCCGTGGCGTTAGAGGAGTTTACTCGTGATGTTCCCGAGGCTTGTATGTTTTGGTTGTGTTAATTACGATATTGATCATGAAATTAGTGATGATTTGTCGTAAATGATGATGGTACATGGCTCTGGTTTATTATTATCGTTAGTTTTTAATTGCTCCCTTTGATTTTAAAATGCTTGTTAAAGCTTTTTAAAAAAAACGTAAAGATGTGAACCTAGATTTTAATGATTCAACTTAGAAGTTAATTACCGATTTCTCTGCAAGTAATAAGGACTGTTGAAATAATAAATGAAGATTAAAATATTGTTTAATGTTGAGTTAGAAAAAAGCGTGCTAATGTGCTAATGTGGTCAGAATTGGCCGAGTTGAACAAACACTTTCGGTTAAAAATGTTTGTTTGCAGGATCACACACGAGGACGTGTTCAAGCAGGATGGCCGTGTCGCAACCAAGTCGGTACTTCCGGAATGATTATTTTAAACGATCAGGACGCAAGCGCCATCCGGTGGCACTGGACAGAGTTTACGACTTAACGGTCGACCGGAGCTGCACACACATTATCGTGGGCTGTCGGAGAGTGGAGTCGACTAGAAACTGTTCCGCGTTCCGTATAGTTTATACATAGAGTTACGTTGTGATTTATGTTAGTGATTATTTAAGTGATTTTTACTTAGAATTAGATTGTTGTTAATTATTGTGATTTTACTTCACTTCCAACACTGCAAAATAATGACACTCCACTAAGCATTTCAGGATATCTCAACGATCTGGGCATCATCATGGATTGCAAGTTGATATGAAATGCACATATCATAGAAATAAGCATGGAAAATTAATTATAATTTTCATTCCCTAAATGCTATCAAATTTTTCAACCTTTATCAACGGAAATTTTACTTGTCCGCCGAAGAAGATTAGTCAGTTCTTTCCATCTGTCAAGTGTCCTATTCCTCTACATGCAGGAGTGTACAAGCTTGATTGTGATTGTGTTCTCTCATATATAGGGCAAACAAAGGGATCAATTAGAACCCGCTTAAAAGAACACATAGCTGACGTGAAGCATCAACGTTCCGTTGAAATTAAAAAAACATCCTAATTTCAAGGAGGCTGGATGCTAAAACCTGCTTGGGATCCTATAATTAATAAAATTAAAACTAAACTCAAGCATATCACTGCAAGACTTCAAAATACAGTTAGTTCAGTCTGCGTAGATCGGACCAAAGACAATAGTTAAAAAGCTGAAGCTACTCCGGAATAAACTCGACATGAGGACGTCAGTCATCTCAGTCCCCCGTGACCATGGGTGCTGGAAGGTACCCGAAGCGTCGGTAATTAAAAATAATTACAAATTAAACGCGATAAAATCCGTTAAAGTAGTTTTAATCGATGTATAGTGTTCGCGTAAATATAAGAAATCATTTAAGATATAATCAAAGACTATTAACTTTATCTCACTAACTCTTGTAATTATAAATATCTGTCAATCGTAAGCGTTAGAAGTAAAAAAATTTTAGCTTCACACACCTGTCAATATTATTTTTGGGTTATTAAGAAATATCTATATATCTGAACACGACCGTGTGCGAGTTCAGTGCTAGTTTTCCATACAAAAAAGCAATTATAAAAAGGAACCCCCAGTCACACTATCCGTAAATTTTTGCAACATTAGGGGACTTCATTCAAACCTTAACGCCGTTTACTACTCTCTCTCTGGAAACGGTGAAGCTGACCTTAATTTTTCTAACCAAGACACCGGTATCCTGTCCGGCTGATACTACTTTTCTCTCCTACTCGGGGTACAAATTAGAACACTCCTTTGTGCACCGGGATGGAGCTGGAGATGAGATGCAGTCAGAGGCAGAACCCAGCCATAGTTTGGTCGCCACTGCAAAATTGCTACACACTATAAACAGGAGTACTACCGAGCCTGAGCTAACGCATCGACGTTTCGAGATGCAAGTACCAGCGCTATTATAAAGATGTATAATTATGCCTCCAGATCCTTCAAAAGTGTCATTGCCATAGCAAAGTCAGTGCACCTCGGTATAATTGGTTGGTAACTAGTTCCAGTTCCTTCGGGTATACGATTGCACGTCATCTCTCACCATGTTTGTCCAAGGGAAACTCTGTCAACCATCTCTCCTATTTCTGAACAGGAAGGACAGCTAACTAGCACATACCGCAAAAAACAAAGTCAAAATCTGCTAGGCTCTCTAGGGGTATCAAATCATCGTCCGTTTCGCGGCGTGAGTGCTACATGTGGGATGTGCTGTTTACCCAGCGCTCGATGAGCAAAGCTTTCATCTACCTGGACGTCAACAAGTGAAGTAGCTCTGATGGCATCCCTCATATTATGCTGAAGACGTGTCCACTGGAGTTGGCATCTATTTTAACGCGTATTTTCCGGTATTTCTACTCCCTAGGCGTAGTCCCAAATTCATGGAAGACAACTTTAGTACACTCGTCCTCTAAAGAAGGCGACCGCTCAGATCCGTCCAACTACAGGCCTATCGCTATTGCCTCCTTCTCATCCAACATATTGGATACAATTATTAACTGCCAGCCCATGACGAACGTTGAGGATCACCAGCTGATTAGTGACCGCCAGTACGCTTTTATCAAGATCAATCAGCTGGTGATCTTTTGAGTTACTACACTCATAGATTGATGAAAACAGGAGTCCAAAGGGGAGGCATTGGCCGTTAGTTTAGACATAGCGAAGGCCTTCGATCAAGTTTGACACAAAGTACTTCTCACGAAGTTTCTGGTGTTCCACAAAGCTGCGTTAAATCACCTACGCTTTCTTCTGCATATCATTGATATGCTGAAAACTGTTGAAAACATTCATTGCTATGCAGATTGCAGCACTGGTGATGTTTTTTATATAATATTTTGATAACACCATCTGTATCAATACTTCCCGCGCAAACGGCACCGATTACTGGAACAAACTTGTGTCAGAACTTGAGAATTTGTTGAATAAAGTCTCGGACTGGGGGTGACGAAATCTAGTCTAGTTCAATCCCGAAAAGACATAAGTCTGCAAATTTACCGCTTAAAAGAACCCCCCTACCCCTGTTGTATTTTCTCGGTTTCCAGACGCTTCTCTTGGCCTTAGCTAGTATCGGAATCATCGGCGTCGAAATATCGAGTGACGTGAACTTTCGTGGCCACTTGAAAGAGAATGCAAATTGGCCTCTAAAAAGCTTGGCGCACTCAGCAGAGCGACACAGTATTTCGTGCCAGTACACCGCACATAACTTTACAAGGTGCAGGTTTGGCTGCACATGGAATACTATTCTCCACCATGGGCTGTGGCTCCCCAGTGCCAGTTCCTTCTATGAGATCGCATCTAGCGCAAAGTCGTTGGAATCTTAGGCAACCGAGCTCTTTTCGATCGGATTGACTCACTGGCACTGCGATGTTGAATCTCTTTGCGTATTTTATTGCATTTACCACGGAGAGTGCTCTGACTACTTCCAGGACTCGGAATCTGACTGATTCCAGGAATTAGACTAGTACTAGACTAGACAGACTACTATTCCAGGCGCACAATTTGACAATCGCACGTTGCGACAAAACTCGCAATACCATCAATACCACCTGGATGACTGGCGGTCCACCAATTTTAAGAAAGCATTTTAAAGAAGTTTTCTTCCTCGCACAACTTATTTGTAGGATCGACTGCCACCAGACATTTTTTGGGACCGATACACGAAAAAGAGCCTAGTCCTTTGAAAAGGCCGGCAATGCATCTGCAATTCCTGGTGTTGTAGTTTTTCATGGTAGGCGGTAGTCACTTACCAACAGCTGAGCTGCGTGCTCGTTTGCTCCCTCTATTATAAAAAAATATAACTTACGTAAATGAAAGCTCATAGGTTGTTGTAAGAAACAAGGTAAATGTACGATTAAAATAATGTCAAACAACGAAGATTAAAACGTCTAAATGCATTTTAGAGAAGCGTTAACAAAAGAAATGTGTCAAATAGCAAACTACAAAACGATTTTCTGATCTCAAGCACTATCGTTGTGGGAAATCCGTCATCCAAAGTATTGTATTTTGATTTTTTAGGAGGCTCTTTGATTCGTCATCCGACAAGGGGGACAAAACATCGTTTAGTTTATTTTCAATTTGTTGTCAGCTTGTAAGTGTGTAAAATATTAAAACTTATTGCCCTTACCTTGCTCTTCTATCACTAAAATAATAATTTTAGTAGGTATAATTATAATATTATTTGCGTTTTGCCGAATTTTTACTGTGCTATTATTTTATTTCTGCTCACTTTATTAGACT